TTTTCAGATTCGCTGTATCTTGTTAGAGAAGTCATGGTTGGTAGATCAAACATATCTCTTTGTTAGATTCATTGGCAATCTATATTATATAAACATATTTTCCTGCAAGAAAATTTTTAAACTGCGAAACATTTTAACCCGGCCTTTTGACAGCGGCACGTTGTGCCGCATTGATTTGTACACCACCACGAAATGATGTCGACAAGTGATGATGGTTTCGTTTCTCCTGACTTTAGCGAGGTCGTATTTGATTTTCACGATTCGTCCGTTCAATTAAAAATATTCTATAGATTATCTATAGATGATCTATAGATATTTTATGTTACTTTCTTCTTCACAAAGCGTAATGAAATGTTTTACCCGTTTGACGGGTAGCCAGGTTTCTTTGATTTAAAAAGCTGCAACGGTTTCAAGAGGTTACAACCCTAATGAGAAAAACATGTTCCTATATGGAGGATAAAACAATAAAACGACGCAAGAACATTTCCGGCTAAAGCTGTTCACGTGCACGAATGGCGAAAATTAAATCCAATCACGCTAATTTGCCACCCACACAATCACCGGCCGAACATCATTCTTTTCGAACATTTCATCAGATTCAGACATAGCTGGGGAAAGAGTAAAGCTTGTGACGACCTCAGGAGGGACGGTCCCATCTTCACTGGTCGATATCATTTCGTGCTGGTGTACGAATAAATTCGGCAGCCCGGGCGCAGCAAGCAGCTGTCGAAAAGCCGGTTTACAATGTTTTGTAGTCTGCAAAGCCGGGAAAATATGTTCAATCCTTAGAGTTTTGTTAGGTACTCTAAAGGTGCGCTGCGCCGAATGTAACAAACATCTTTGTGGAAGTTCATGCCTTGTGTGAGAATTTGCTGTGTTCGTCGCGTTCCCGCTAATAAATATGTGTCAGGATGAATGCAGATGATATAATAATAGCGGCTGGTGCTTTTTTATTATAAGTGCTTTAATTAGCAATAAGAGAAGAAACAAAAGAAAATAGTGGTCAAGACGTCTCTTTTTCCGTCGTAGAAATTTGGAACTACTCAGGGATTTGAATCAGAGGAAACTCTTATACAATATTTATTTAAAATTTCAAAACAACGAATTAATTTTATAATTATAGAAACCTGCAATCGAGGGGGTAACAACTGAACCAAAATTTGTACATGTATTGCGCATTACGTGCCTTTTTTATAGTAATACCAGTAATACCAGTGTAATGTCAGTAATTCCAGTGTAATGCCAGTAATTCCAGTATAATGCCAGTAATTCCAGTGTACTGCCAGTAATTCCAGTGTAATACCAGTAATTCCAGTGTAATGCCAGTAATTCCAGTGTAATGCTAGTAATTCCATATTCCATGTTGGAAGAAAATAATATAAAAATAAAAGAATTCTTGACAACATCGATGAAGGAAACGCATTATCTTCACAGAATATTTGTATGAAACAAAATATAATATACAGTTTGGACATATTTATTATTTTCTCTTATCACATATATACAAACATACACATATATAGGTACCTACAACTAAAACATATTCTTAAACTATTTGTTCACGCGAATAAACATTTTAGTCGATCATATTTTCAGTTAAACATATTTTTCTTAACATCTTTGTAAAGTTTAATAATTGTTCATTTATCGTGTCTTGATAGTTGAAATGGTCCTGTTCCGATGATTTTTATTGGTCCAGTGGGTTTTTTTTAATAAATTCCGTATACAAGTACTTTCTCGTCTGCTTCTAAGAGTTCAAAGTGGTAATTTCTTGGAAATAAATTTATATTTTCAATATGAATATCGGTGATTTTTGATATCGAATATAGGTTGTCATAACCAGTGGAAATCATAAGGTTTTTTTACATGTAAACTGGTAACTGAAAACCATGTAGTTGAACTTTACTAATACATGCATTAACTGGACAAATTGATTCTTCTTCGGATAATATTAATTCTTTTTCTGATAAAGACATTCTAAAAGATCAAATAAACTATAAAACAAGGGACAGAAATAGATGGGTCAGTCCATATCAAATCACCCGAAGGCCTTTTCCTCACCATCTCCGATTTTGATTATTACTGGTAAATTTGTTTTATTCATTAAAAAACTCAAAGATCCATTTTTTTGTAATAACAAGTTTGTTTAAAATAAAAAAATTGCAATATGTCAAATACTATTTAAAGTAAAAGGTGGGTCCTGTTTTAAAGGTCTTTTAGGGGCCTTTTTATGATATATCACATAGACTAATTTTTTCATCATTTTGAGAAAAAAAATTAAATATGTCAAAAATGCCTTTTTTATTTTTTTAAGAAAACTATATTTTATTGCAGCATACAGCATTGAATTACTATAAAGGAATTAAATTACTATAAAGGAATTGAATTACTTTAAAGGAATTGAATCCTTTGAAAAATAATTAAATTTCTCAAATATCTTAAAAACAATTACCAATTACAATTACTTTCTAGAAAGTAATTGAAGTGCCAATTATTTCTAAGGTTTAAAAAAAATAATTTAATTATTTAAAGTAATTTAATTACATTTTCAATTACTTTAATTCAATTACTTGACAGATATTGCTATTTTTGTACAAGACCCAAATCGGCAATTTTTCGATTTTCCAAAATCAATAAAACAAAAACAAGTCATCGAAAAAAAAAAAAATTGGGTTTTTATAAAACAAATTTACCAAAAATCATCAAAATCAAAGTTGGTAAGGGAAAAAAGTATCCATTTTTTGGTTGATTTCGAGTTTCGGTTGATTTAATATGGACTGAAATAGATGGAAAATATTAAAATTAGCAAGAACTCAAACAAGGACAACTAAATTCTATTAAATTTTGCAAAAATTACAAAAATTTCTTTTCTTGCTCAATTGTCAACGATTGCCAATATGTTGGCGAAAAAGTGCGGAAAGAATTAGTACCTAAGCTCGCAGGAAATAAAAACTAATATGTACACATAATTATGCATAAGCCATAATATTATCACCCAGCTCCAGAAGATTTAAGTTTTTTCTATTACAAGTTTTATTTTAAGTTTTTTCTATTACAAGTTTACAAGAAAAATACATTTTTTCTTAAAAATGTTAATCTATAATTAATTTTAATGTTAAAGTCAGGAAAAATGTAAAATTATTTACTTACATTGTGGTTTTACTGTAATTTAATACGTTTTGTTTTAATTTTTTAAAGAATTTGTCAAAATGACAAATGTATGGAAATCTTATAATCTAAAATTATTTAAAGCAGAAATGCCAATTTTCGATTTAAAATACAAAAATCTTAGGCCCGTATGGATATTTAGCTTTTAATACGGCCATGTTTTCGTCAATCACGTGAACAGAGTCTACATTAAGTTCTTGTTAAATAAAAATACACTTCATCCTGGGTAGAAACGCTTCTTAAAAAATTTCAGGAAATTTTTGAGAAAAAAATGCTTCAAAAGACAGTTTGTGTTTTAAGGAGAACTGTGGTTCTTGGGGTAATTCCCTTTCTTAGCAAATGTTCTAAATGATGAGCAAAAACTAAATATCTTAGTAAAATTAAAAATACCTATAAATGATTTTATTTCACTTACCTCGAGCTTAAATTTAAATACCTAACTAAACAAACACTGCAATTCACAACCACAAAATTCAACCTTAATGCCATAAAATACGAGCGTAATGCCGTAATTCGTACGTAATGCCGTGAAATTTGTAAGTAATGCAATGTAATGCCGCCTAATACCAGCGTAATACTGCGGAATGCCAACATAATGCCACATAATGCCGGTAATGTCATGTAATGCCGCCGTAATGCGGGGTAATGCATCACAATTTGTACATGTATTGCCAGCAGTTGTTACCCCCTCGCCTGCAATGCACTTATTTAAAGACTTAAGAATCAAAGAAAGGTGTATAAATATAATTTTTAAATTTTCCCATGTGTCAAACTTTTTATTTTTATTAAAATACTGCCCATTTTTGGCATCCCATATTCATCTATCAATTGGAGGCACTTTTACCTGCTCCATTTCATCTTTGCACTAATTATAATTATTATATTATAATCAATAAAAATAAAGAATTAAAACCAACAAACAGGCCAAATACGGCAAACACACCTTCCCACTGGCAAACGACTAATTCGGCGAAAATCCCTTTGCGCAAATCCGATTTACCGACAATCATCCGAAAAAGTTCGCGTTCCGTTCTGTTCGGCGCAACGTACTCACTAGCACTCACTAGCACAATTTGGCGCGTTTGGTTCGTTCGGAGTAATTTGTTGCAAGTCAGTACCTAGGTTCAAAAACTCGCTTGCGCGTTCGAATTCTCTAGTATATATACAATTGTAAACTGATCGAAAACAGCAAGTATATGCCCAGAGTGCACTCTCGGTTGTCCAAGCTTTAGACTTGGTTAAGTTTTACCTGTTATGCATATAGGGTACATCAAACAATAATTTGAACTTACCTTCATATAACTTATTAATCCTACCTGTTTAAAATTCAATAAAAAAATAACGAAAAACATTAAAATAAAAAAAAATATTTAAAATAAATTATTTAAAAAATATTAAGTCTAAAAAACAAAACAAAAATTATCACAAAAACTTGAATAAAGCATATAAAGGGTTGTAATACAATAATTTATTATTTATATGTAGGTATTCAGTTAAATAACAAGCAAAACCAATTGGTTTTAGAACACAACATAAAGTTTATACATAGGTATATGCTCCGCGGCGTTCGAAAATAACAAGGAAGTCAGGTATAATGTAAAGGCATGTGATTATTATTATTATAAAATCCAAGTGTGATGTGTCACCTTGGGGGAAGGGTGTTAAGACCAAAAAATGGCTGAAGTACTTTATTCGTTCAAATTTTCACGCGAATTGTATTGAGATATTGAAAATTTGAATTTTTAATGTCACTATGGTGGGTGGGGTGGTCCATTTTGTGACTGTGTGACGTAATATGTGAATGGCCTGTAACATGTAACATTTTTACTCACCTAAAGCATTTTGTCCCATACCAACATCTTTCTCTTCTTGGTTTGCTGGTTGATGATTTATTATCATCTTTTTGTTTATTTTTATCATTATTTGTACCATTGTCATTATTATTTGTTGATGTACTTGGATTATCATTTTCTTTACTTCTTTCCTGTTCAGTTGTTGGTTCATTTTTAACTTCTATCTTATTTACTAAAACTTTCTTATCTGGAGTTTCTTCCTTTAATTTACTTGCACTTGCTTCATCACTATCCATATTTACATCATGATGATCATTATCATCATCCTCATCATCAGAAACAATTTCTTTATTTGTATGTGATGTATTTGTATTTCTACTTATATCTTCAGGACTATTTTCTGCCATTGCCTCGTCATTTTCTTCCTTCACTTTACTTGTAGATCCACTTTCTTCATTACTATTAACAGTATTTTCCTTATTCTCCTGCACAATCCTACTTATATTACCCAACAGTGTATCCAGATGTTCATCTGTTATTCTAGCCTTCTTACTACTAGATTCTTCTTCATCTGAATCTGCCTCTCTTTTAACTCCAAGACTAGTTTCTTCCATTTTGGGACTTTTCTTTTTATCTACATTTTCTTCTAGAAGTCTTACTCTAAACCAAAAATTATCTTCTGTTAACAAAGCAAAACAATCTCTATCAGCTAATGGGGTGTCCTTATTTAAAGGCAAGATTGTCATGCTTTTACTTTGTGCTGATTTAAAATAACATGGATTTATATGCAAGGCTGTTATTGTAGCTTTTCCATTATACTTTATTACTGCATGATTTCTTGATATTCTTTTATCATTTACCTAAAAATTACGATTATACTATTTTGTATGGTTTATTTGTGATACAATATTACTTTTAATAGTGGACCTCGTCCTATAACATGTTCTCCAAAAGGTAGGCTGGAAAGAGCCTCTTTAAAATCAACATCGTCAAGTTTATATATTTTTAACATGCTTTAACAAAAATAAATACTAATTTTACACTTTAACACATTTTTCCAAGACACAAATGTCAAACAGATTTATTTGTTTGTGTCTTGTGCGCACAGAATATAAGCGCAGAAAATTAAAAGCGCTGTAGTCAAAGTTGATTCTTCTTCTTCTTCCTTGGTGGCCAAATCACAAAAATACCTCGATAGAAGGTCAAAGTTTGCGATATTGTCCAAAAATACAGGTATATTTCTATCCCCGGAATCCAATTTTGTCCCTCCTGGGTCAAAGTCAGCTACGTTTCACACTTTTTCTTCGAGCGATGTCTCAGGAGCGCATCCGCAAATGCGGAGCTTCCGCATAGATTTGGACATCTGCATCCGCATCCGCGGATGTGAGTGCTCATTCATAATGGACGTAACCATAAGATGCCCGTAAACGTAAACGTAAACGTAAACATAATATCACCATAATTTGTACGTAACGATGAGTTGTGTTTATAATGAACGTATGGCTTATGTATATATTAATAAGGCGCGCATGTCCAAGTTCACTAAAATGGCAGCATTGACAGATTTCGTCTAATTATTATATCTTAAAACTTAAAAGTTTTAAGGCATAATAATTATAATTATAATTATTTTAAATATAAATTAAGTTAAAACTATCAGTGTTATTATAATTATTAGTGTAATGAGCGATATACAGTGCTTGCAAATCCAAGTCCGACCGCGTTGGGAAGGATGGTTGTTCAATACTCGCGCGAAAAGATTAAGGATAGAATGCCCAACAGAATTTGATTGGTCAGAGCGTCAGGAGTGCGTATTGTAAGCGCCTTCTGTTTGGTGTTCTATCCTTGTTATTTTCACGCGTCCTTCCCAAACGGGTCGGACTTGGATTTGCAAGCACTGTATACGTTGGCAAAGAGAAGAAAAAAAGGGCGAATTTCGTCGAATAATACTCAAACTAAAACTTTAGGATAATGAATGGTTCTTTAGATTGTTTGTTCTGTGGATACACCAGAATACACTTGAAAAAGATCCGACATCTGTTTGCGGGTACGCCTCGATGCATCGAAACTCAATAGATCGAATCTCGCCAGATCGAAAATTTACATGACCTTCGAAGCTCACCAGATCGAAAATGTGTGGCAACGTCTCTTTTGAAACGTCAAAGGCTTAAGGCTTTGTTCACATGTTTTCTACAAAAAACGTATTTTCTTAAATGAGATCTACCCAGAGATAAAGAAGGTTCTACCTACTTTCGTTCAAACAAGATTTCGGTCAAAGAAAAGTAGTATACATCTGAACCAGAATCTGGCAGATAGGTATGCAATGATATTTATCAAACAAAAGTACAGATAAATATAAAATCCCCTTCTCAGATTTTTTTTTAATATCGGAAAATTCATATATAAAATAATAATTATTGGAATAAATTTTGGAAAGTGTTGTCAATGTATAAGGGGAATAACCATACATTCCTTGCAAATAAATCATAGAAAATGCATGGTTTTATAAATAAATATTAATATACTCATATGCATGGTTTTATAAATAAATATTAATATACTTACGTCAAGTGGAAGATTAGGTTGGTTAGGCTGGTATCTAACAGTAAACTTAGTATCCTATAAAATATAAAATGAGCCCTTATAAACAAATTATAAAAACTAATCAAAAGCACTAACTAAAAAATAAAACATTCTTTGGTTTATATAATTAAACAATATTGTATATACTAAGTACTAAGAAAAACTAATCAAAAGTTATAAGTAAATAAAACATTATTCTTTGTTTTAAATAAATATTGAGAAATCCTAATACTAATAATTAAAAGGTTGTTTTCAAGTCTTTATAGTAGCAAATTGTTTTATAACACTTTACATTTATTTCATCTAGCAGGATAAATGGACAGAATTGCTAAGGAGTTAAATCTTTCTTGGGGAATTGTATTTCTTAGGTAGTTCTTTACCCTTTTTAGAGCAGAAAAAGATCGTTCACCACTTGCATTTGAAACCATTATAAAAAAAAAATTCGCAGACAATTATTAATATTCGGAAAAGAACCCAGATAGCAAAATGAATTCACTATGAATTCACTACGAATTCACGCGTGAAAATTAAATTCACGCGTGAATTCATATAACGCGACAGATGAGTCCTCAATTGATGCTCAATTTGCCATCACGCGTGAACTTTTTATTTTTTGCGCATGCGCTTTTAGAATATGGATTTCATTTTTCAAAATAATTTAATCTGTCGAAATATTTATTTTAACACCTTAAAAAAATACACAAAAACTTGGTTTAAAAGGCCATAATTGAGAAGCAATCAGACTAAACCAGATAAATCCATTTCGACTTTTTGAATGGTTCCTATTTCTTTTGTTCAGATAAATCCATTGGAAATATCTATTTCATGCTAAACTTGTTATCATAATATGATATGATCATAATATTAATATTAATATTATATAATAATTATTATATTATACTAAAATTAATATTAGTTTATAATATATATATTATTATAATAAGTTTATCTTGAAATTCACTTTTCCAATTGATTTATCCGACTAAAAGAAATATGAATCATTCAAGAAGTCAAAATAGATTTATCTGGTTTTGGTTGATTGCTCCTCATTTATAGGTTATACATTACAATTATAACCTTAAGGTTAACTAATTAATTAATTAATATATAATATACATATATTAATTATTAATGTACCTATAACATATAATTATGACCTTTTAAACCAATATATATTATGTAATTATATATATTACTATAATATATATAATTATAATAATATATATCAGTGGCGGATTGGGGATTTTGGGTATACCAATATCTCACTTATTAGACGTGGGACCCACTCCAAATTTATAATAGTTTATAATGACATTAAATAGACAAGTTCTGCGCAAACAGAATTTAAATTAAAGTTTGCGAAAAAAAGTTAGTTTTTTGTGTCGCCTTACCTGGCTTCTGGGATAATTCAAATTAAAGTGGTGCAATTTATACTCCACTATAATTTATCGACAAATTTAAAATTTTATTTAAAAAATATAAATATTACAGATTTTATACGATTTTAAATTTTTATTATTTATTTTATTATAATAAAAAAATATTTAATATGGTATAAAATCTGTAATATTTGGATTTTTCAAATAAAATTTTAAATTTACCGATAAATTATAGTGAAGTATAAATTGCACAACTTTAATTTGAATTATCTCAAATGGGGGGGCCAGAAGCCAGGTGAGGCGACACAAAAAACTAACTTTTTTTCGCAAACTTCAATTTAAATTCTGTTTGCGCCGAACTTGTCTATTTAATGTCATAATAAACTATTATAAATTTGGTGTGGGTCCCATGTCTAATAACTGAGATATTGGTATACCCAAAATCCCCAATCTGCCACTGATATATCATATATATATTATAATATATAATTATATAATATAACTACTTATAACTTAATATATTATATAATTAATACATATAATAATTAATTTGTGTATTTTAAAACATTTAAAATAAAGATTGTGACTGAAAATGTCTTATGACATGGGGAAAGGGAGGGTGTTACCAGAGTTAATTATAATTTATTATAATGACATACAATATTAAATGAAAATATATTAATATAATATTTTTGATATTAGAATATTAATATTTTATTTATATTTAAACGTGCAGTTTTAAATCATGCAATCCATGTATTTTAAAATAAAATCGATTAAATCACACGAGACTATAATATGAATTCATAATCTACTCACGTGTGAATTACGAGTTCAAGACTTCACGTGTGAAATCATATAGCACACATTATTCACTCACGCGTGATTTCGTATTCACGTTTGCTATCTGGGAAGATATATCTTCTTTTCCGAATATTAATAATTGTCTGCGAATTTTTTTTATACGAATATAAATTAATATATTAATTTATTTTCGTATAAAACTTATACTAATTCCAATGGAGTTTCTATTTTTATTTCCGAAAGGGAAGTTATCAGTTTCTTGAGTTGGACACATTTTTGAGGAAAAAACTCATCCAAATCCTCCACGAAGATTTATGCTTTTAGATTTTAATCTTAAAAATCTTAAAAACAAAAATTCAAATTTGTTTGTGCCAGATTTCTAGCTATCATATCGACAAATGATTTCGGATTATAGATTGTCAATTATTAAAATAAAACTTATTGTTCGCATTGTTTCTTTTTTGCTTAAACTTGCAAGTTTAAGCAAAAAAGAAACAATGCGAACAATATGTTTTATTTTAATAATTGACAATCTATAATCCGAAATCATTTGTCGATATGATAGCTAGAAATCTGGCATGCCTCTGAATTATTTTCTTCAAATTGTAATTTTCTTATGATTATCCGCTTCTGAGCATAATTTTCGTTTCCTGTTAATTTCCTCGTAATGATCAAAATGATATCACGTAAAAAATCAAAGTTCTCAACTAAAAATGACAAAAGATGAGCATTTGTGCTTAAATCCATATTTTGTTTTTGGACTGCTTTATTGGTTTCATTAACCCTTTGCAAAACGTCTATCCAAAAAGTTCAAATTATTCCGTTTCCAATAAATCAAGTTTTTCTGATGGAGAAGCTGCTTTAACTCTAACAACATTTTTCTCATTTGTATCGATACAACGGATCCGTTGTATCCGCCGACGCAGTGTCGCAATAATTTTTTTTCTATAACTCAGAGCCAAAGTACGTTAAGTCCAAAATTTTAAATATGACCAATCAAAATTTAAACCAGTTTTTAATATAGAGTCATTCCAAATAAAAACACCAAATGGTGCGCTGCGTGATTTTTTATTTTGATGAAAAAATTTGAGGATGATCTTTTAGGTGTCAAATATGAAAATCCGTTGCCGTTTTAATTTTTTGTTGCTTTACTTTTATTTGGCACCCCTTAGAAGTCTGAAATAGTGTCAATTTCTTACTCTCTTAAAGTGGGCCAGAACTTTTTTTCTGTGACAAATATTGAAATAATTTTAATTTTGTTTTACTGTCCAGTAAGTGTGTTTTCGATATAAATTATTATTATCCAATTAGTTAATCTGATAAAAGAATGGTAAACCACTAAAGATTC